TAAAATAAATAGATATATTGAAATAAGAATGAAAGAATTTAAATAAATTTTTTTCATATGTCTAAAAAAATAAAATATATAAGAAAATTATATATTTAAAATATTAAAGAGATTATTTTATTCTTAAAAAGGTAATAAGTTGTAGGAGAGACCTATCATTTTATTTAAAGGAGAACAAGGATGAGAGTTTTCCAGAAAGACAAAATTGGTATTTTAATTTTTGGTACTTTTTAGTGCTGCATTTTACGACAGGGTAAGAAGGAAATTGAAAATTATGGATGCCACTGAAATTGTTAGATTCCCCTCATTGTTTTTAATGGGTCCAAATTGAGAAAATAAACTGAAATTTCTATATTTCAGTCTATGCTCATTTCAATGCAATAGATTTCAGCCCATACAAATAAAGAGATAGTGAATTACAGTCTTTGCAAGGAATAAAGGATTTTAATTAGAGTAGGTACAAGGGTAACTTTGTAAGTTGCCAGTGGGTACAATAAATATTTAACCCTTTAATTCGTAGGTTAACTTTGATTTTTTTTTTCTTTATTTAATTTAACTCTGTAATTTTAATTATTTTCTTATATACCAAATCAGTTTAAGAAGAAAAAAAGTAAAATGAAAGGGAATACTCAACATAGTAATGAAAATTGTAAAAGTTTGAATTACTAATTTGATACAGAAGAAATTGATTGCCTCGTGCAATTTGACATTGCTAATCACGTGGAAATGTTTGACAGAGATTTTGAAAAAAAAAATTGAAAATTAAAAATTCATTTAAATCAAATGATTAATTATAAATAATCAATTTGAATTTTTTTTTAAATGAAGAAATGTATACTGTTATATGCTTTTTTCATGACATGTTATAAATGATTTTGTTATAGTTTTGTACATATATTATATTGTAATTTAGTAGTTTGAGTATCGTTTAAAAATGTATTTATTTTATAATAATATTTATGCTTAATTGGTTAAAAAATATTAAGAAAATTACATTTCAACTAATAATTTGAGTAACATATACAATTCCAAATATTTAGATACCTAAAGAAATAAAAATAAATATGAATAATTTTTTTAATATAAAAATAAATACTAATTTTAAATTTTAAAAAAATTAAAATTTAAAACTAATAACCATGTTGAACTGGCCTTAATTTATTTATTTTTATATTTTTAACAGGCCTTAATTCTAATGGCTAAATTTTTTCAACAATGTGTACGGCTGTGTAATAGAACTTTTATAAGCACTGAGATCATAAATCCCTCGTTGTTACAAAATCATCGTAGATATTAGATTATATTAAATTATACGTATTAATGAAATACAAGATTTATAACTATCGATACGTCGTCTAGTTGGTAAATTAATAATATGTCGTGTATATATATATAATAAATCATCTATTTTGTTACTAACTTTAAAATAATTATTTATGAATATTAAATTTTATCAATTCAACCGTTAAATAAAACAATCTATTTATATTGATAATTTATATTAAGTTTTAGATAAATAAAAGACTAATAGATATATAATTTTATAAACAATATTTATTGATATTTAGAAAGTATATATTTAATGTTAAAATAAAATTATTTAATAAACTATTAAGTAAATTTTTAAAAACAGATTTATTTATAAAAATTAATTTAAAAATAGGATTAATAAAATTGAATATTAAATTTTACTAATTCAGATAATTTAATGAAAAAATTATTTTAACATATCATATTTTTCTAAAATATATAAATAAATATTAAATTTAAAATTATATATTTCTGACCACCTAATTTGTTTAATACTTGGTGTGTATGATTAACATTGTTAATATCACATTATTTAACTGTTAAATTAAATTTAATATTTATTAAAAATTATTAAACAAAATAACATTAAGAAAAGTTACTTTTGAAAATTTATAATCTTTAAATTTTTTTAGTTAGTTAATCAAATCTCTTTACTTTTTAATTTTTTTAATCTAAAACTTCTAGATGAACATTTTTAATCAAAATATTTATAAATTAAACTGATTAAATTGTCTTCAATTTAAAACTTACTCACCAAAATATTAAATTTTATTAAATTAAAATTAAAATCTCAAACTTTTCCCCTTTTAAATCTTAATCGTACATTTTAGAAAATCCTTTTATTTTTATTAAATTGTCACTAAAAATCTTAATTTTAAATTTCTTATTTTATCTTTTAGTTCCTTTACTCCTCCCCAAAATTGGATAGAAATTAAAAATTTATAATTTTAAATTGAAGAAAGTCAAAGAAAAAAAAACAAATTTACTAAATTTTAAAGAGAAACTTAATTAAAATAAAAATTAAAAAATATAAAAAAACACATATTATTTAAACGAAAAAGCTATAGTTAAATAACATAATATTAATTTTCTAATAAATATTTATTGAATAACCACTTATTAATTTAATAATTAAATAATACAAATCCACGTAATAATCAAGGAAATTCCGCATACTTCTCAACCAGAGTCAACACCTTTTGTGAATTTTCGAAAGCTAAATTAAATTGTAAGTATTAATTTATTAACTTAATAGCACTTTTCCTCAAACTTGATTGATTTAAAGGCTATTCTGTATAGTCACTACTATGGTATGCAGCATACGCATGGACGATGGAATCTGTCTGTAATTGGATCAGCGTGTGTAAAGGAGACTTTGTTTAAAGTAAATTTGGAACGAAGTGATTAAAAATAAATAAATCATTTGAATATTTTGATAAAAATATTTTTGAATATGTAACTATCTATAACATATACAATATTCGTAAAATAGTATTATAAGAAATATTTTTGTCAGTACTGATGTAATTAAATATTTTGAATATAAAAGTAACAAAATGTTTTCATCAGAATCATAATTTTAATTCCAAATTGAATTCTGCGTAGTTTAAACCTTCTCAACGATTTTTGTGGAACATTTACTTAAAGCAAAGAATGCATGCATGTACATAGATGATTGATTATGAATTTGTAGAGTCAATGCAATTACGCATATCTATAATCTTTGTTCTGGACTTGTGCTATTCACCCTAACCATGGATGGAACAATCCAACATGCTTGAACCCCACTGAAGAGTGAAAGGCTAATCATCATCTCGTTACGCTGTCGTTTTCACCGCGATTGACGCTTAGCATAATACTAGCATGTGTGCTTTTTTATAGTACCCATTCCCTACAACTCATGTGATTGCCCATTATTAGTCATTACCTTCCCAGGGGCATGCCCATCTTCTCTATTTATAATTCCACAATTTTTCATTATCTTTGCCATTTTTCTTTCCTTCTTGTCATTCTTCCCTTTCACAGGATTTTTACTATGCGAAATCGGCTACATGGATCACTTATGATTCATGAATAGATTTCAACAACACAACCTTCCTTTCTTGTATTGACTTAGAACATGCATTGGTAGATCTCTCATTATTATACTAATATTAAAAATTTAAATTAACTAATAATCAATAAAGTCAAATATTACATTTATTATTTGTAATATTAAGAATTAACTTAACTTATGATATCAATTTAAAAAATGAATTGATATTTACCTGCAAATAATTTATATGATAAAAATGAGTATAAAAAACTAAAATGTATAAATGAAGTTTTCAATAGCATTGATTAGTAACTTCGCGTTGGAGTACACATGTTCAGTGGTCTGATATATATTATCTATTTCTCTTTTACATTATATTTGAATAAAAAGGGTAATCTTTTGACATTTTTTTTTTCGTAACCATGCCTTTCATATATATGGTTCACATTACCACACTACATTCCCTCATCTTTTCTTGTTTGAAGGACTCTAACACTACTAATGTAATATAAGTATAGGAAAGAGTGTGAAATTATCAGCATTCTATAGTTGAATTTGCAACAACCGCCCTTCTAGATTGGATGCTTAAAAATAAGCAATAAATTTAAGGATGACACCTTGTATTTCTGCAACTAAGCTCTTTCTAGTAGGGTTGAATTAGAATCCAAAGTGTGTATAAATCATTTATTGTTGTCTAACAGAACTTGGGATTACTTTTTTGGATTATTTTTGTTTTGAAATTATTTTTCTTGTCTCTTTTTTTAATTCAAGTGGTTCATTTTTTCATTCATACGTTGCATTGAACCCCTCTGTACACTTTATGAACTTCACATGGAACAATTATGAAATACGGTAAGTCCACCTATCAAATTAGTCTAAAACAAGAGAAATTCAAAGTAATAGCCTTGATCGTTGCACCCTTCACAATTAACTAGTTTTTCTCTTTATTATCGTATGTGTCAGTAGGTGTGAACTGTAAACGCGATTGAACACTTTCAAAATCTAGAATGAAATGTATATGTTGTTTGTATGTAACATCACTTGATTATTAAGCTGCTTTGAATATTAACGTTATCATTCACTAAACTCTGTACAATCATCAAATTGAATGGTGAAAATGCAACTGCATATGCAACTGAAAAGCAAAATAAAGTTGATGCCATCAGTGGCGAAACTTCTGGGGGTTAGAAGTCAATAAAGCAAGCGATGGGCTAGTAAAGCTATGTTTTCACTTTTATAATAATGATATATTATTATACACATATATGACTCAATTTATAATAGCCATGGTTTAACTTTAGCCTTAAGCAACAATACATGGAAACGCGCGTTAACACCGCCGAATATTGATGATGAATTGGTCACCTTAATTCCAAACAACATCCTTCACTTTTTTTCTTTTATATTTTTTAATTATCTTGGCAATGGTTCCTTGTATATATATCTTATATGTAAAGAAAGGCTTCAGCTGCAGCCTCCAAGCCTGAGTAGGTGTAACTTAAAAGTGAGTCACAGTTTGAGCAGAACCACAGAACTGGTATTTATCATTAATGATGCTTCATTTTTTCAGTTCCTAGTGAGGTCTTAACTGTGAAACACAAGCGTGTGTTTCTCTCGGTTCTTCTAATTTTGTGTTTGTTTGTAGACAGACGCAATGGGAAGCACATGTTTGCTCCAGGTGTTGCGTGTTGTTGTTCTGGCTCTTTTGAGTGTATCTCTTGTACAAGCAGAAGATGCATACAAATACTACACGTGGACCGTCACTTATGGGACTCGTTCTCCACTAGGTAGTCCTCAGCAGGTGAGTAATGTCAGCATGCTTCCATTATATTTCTTTGGATATTGATGCTAGAGGTGATCTTTGAGGAGTGTCTAAAATTTTAGTACTTTATTTTTTAAGGTGATTCTGATCAATGGTCAGTTTCCTGGGCCTCAACTAGACTTGGTAACAAATGACAATGTAATTCTCAACCTTGTCAACAAGTTGGATGAGCCATTTCTACTCACTTGGTGAGTTTATCTGTTTTCAAGTGCCTTGTTTCATTCTTAATTTTGTTTAATGGTCTACATTTACTCCCTTTTTGGCATAAGTCACATTTACGGTACCATTGTATGCGTTTACAAATTTCCTCTGGTAATTTGAGGGAATGAGAGTAGCCTCTTTAGTGCTTAAGCATCGTAGATGTTAACATCTTGGATGAAATAGATGGAAATGGAGGTAGCATTTGTGTTATATGCTACGGCTTTTACTGTTTAAATTTATGGCAATTTTAGATAACCTTTATAAAGTCATATTTCAATCGTATTTTACTAGTTGTACAGAAATGTTTTAGGTAGAAGAGCTGCATTGCTATTCAAATAAATTTAGACATCTTACATGTTCTAGTTATTGTTGGAAAGAAAAACAAGATGTTTAGAGTTTCCACTTTCAAGTTTTCTGAGACATTTGAATCTTTCTTTTGGACTACAAACTGAAAGTTTAAGATTATATTTATGGCATAGAACAGAGATTTGCAATTTCTTAGTATGCTTATTCATAATATTGAGTTATGTATTTGAGAAAATGGTTTAACATTGCTGTTTGTGAACCAGGAATGGCATCAAACAAAGGAAAAATTCATGGCAAGATGGGGTATTGGGAACCAACTGCCCCATTCCTCCAAACTCAAATTACACATACAAGTTTCAAGCCAAGGATCAGATTGGAACCTACACATACTTTCCATCAACTCAACTGCATAAAGCAGCTGGAGGATTTGGGGGACTCAATGTCTATCATAGATCTGTCATCCCCGTGCCTTATCCATACCCTGATGGAGATTTTACTTTACTCATTGGTGATTGGTACAAGACCAGCCACAAGGTATCATCAATTTGTGCTTTACATTTTCTTCATACTGATTCTTTGTTATGGAATCCTTTGAATATATATCCCAGAATAAACTGGACCCAAAATGTTTTTCTAAAGATCCACCTTTCTTTGTCTTGGCCACTATTCCTCGTAACATTTGCCACCTATTGTTCATAACATTTTGTCTTGATATTTGCAGGCATTACAGGATTCATTGGATTCTGGAAAATCTCTTGCTTTTCCCGATGGTCTCCTCATCAATGGCCAGGCTCACACTACCATAAATGGAGACCAAGGTCATCATTTTCAACTTTGTGCAAATTCTAAATGATCAATTTCAACTTAGTCAATTTTGTTCATCCAATCATTATTTATGCTTTAGTTGCTTACTTTCAGGAAAGACCTATATGTTCAGGATCTCTAATGTGGGCATGTCAACATCAATTAACTTTAGAATTCAGGGTCATACCCTGAAGCTAGTTGAGATTGAAGGATCACACATTATCCAGAACATATATGACACCCTTGATGTGCATGTTGGGCAATCAGCTGCTGTGTTGGTAACCTTAAATCAGCCTCCACAGGACTACTATATTGTTGCCTCAACAAGATTTTCCAGAAAAGTTCTCACAGCAACTGCAGTATTACATTACACAAACTCTAACTCCCCAGCTTCTGGACCCTTGCCTAGTCCCCCCATTCATCAATATCACTGGTCTGTGAAGCAAGCTAGAACCTACAGGTTATAAGAAAAATCTAACCAAAAACAACGTGCCTTGGATTTGGATTAATTTATCAGTTTTTCTATTGGGTACCTAGTGACACACGATAAAAACATAAATATAGTGAGTTTTTATTGAAATTACAAAATATTATTAGTTTCGATGATCGATAACATTAAATGTTATATTTTTAATTAAAACTTATTATGTGTTGATTTCGTGCCCTTCAGGTCACGTTGTAAAAAACTTAAAAAGTTTATCTATTACATTTTTGGTCTGTTAAAAATTATTTGTTCCTGCAGATGGAATCTTACAGCAAATGCAGCTAGGCCTAATCCACAAGGGTCATACCATTACGGGAAAATAACTCCCACAAAGACAATTGTATTGTCCAATTCAGCACCTTTGATCAATGGAAAACTTCGTTATGCTGTTAACAAGGTTTCCTATGTCAACCCTGATACCCCTCTCAAGCTTGCTGATTACTTCAACATTCCTGGAATCTACAGTGTTGACTCAATCCAAAACCTTCCTTCTGACGGTCCTGAATCCGTAGCCACCTCCGTGGTGCCAACTTCTCTCCATGATTTCATTGAGGTCGTTTTTCAGAACAATGAAAAGACCATGCAATCTTGGCATCTTGATGGCTATGACTTTTGGGTTGTGGGGTGTGTGATCTTCCTTTATATGCTTTTTGCTTCAATTCAATCTTCTTTACGTATTGTAGATGCAAGCATCTTTACTTAGAATTAGGCTTAAGGGAGTGTTAATTTTGTTCATTGCTACGATCACAGTTACGGTTTTGGCCAGTGGACACCAGCCAAGAGAAGCACCTATAATCTAGCGGATGCCCTGACCAGGCACACTGCACAGGTAACTTAATGTGGGTTTGTCTAAATTATCTGGTAGAGTAAATAATCCTATCCTACGTGAATAAATGAGATTTTATCGATTAAAAAAGTTAAATAAAAAGTTATATAATTTTCAACACCATATCTTAACATTGTTAGTTCAAGTAAAATTGAGTTATTTATTCCAAAGGTTAACTTGGACAAACTTGCATATGTATAAATGCATGTGGATAAAGGATACAGTAAACATTTGTTTGTATTTTTAACTTGTATCTTATCTTTTCTGTATACAAATATCTAAAAATACACTCAAAAAGTGATGGAGACAACTAATAGTTGTTCCCCATAATTATTCAAAAAACATTATTGTATGCCAAATTGTATATTCTAATACTCTTATTTGGTGTGCTTCAAATTAATGTAGGTGTATCCAAATGCTTGGACTACCATATTGGTGTCCTTGGACAACCAAGGTATGTGGAACTTGAGGTCTGCAATATGGGAAAGGCAGTATCTTGGGCAGCAGTTATATCTCAAGGTTTGGACTGCTGAACACAGCCTTGCTAACGAATATGATATTCCCAACAATGTATTGCTTTGTGGAAAAGCTGTTGGACATAATCCCTAGTATCATCACCAACTAATCTTTTGGTGTCGTTTGCTGGTCATGAGGATTTGACTATAACACAAATTTGAAAGGAAGATGGAGAATTTATCAAAATTATGGTTGTCTTGTGTAAATTTGAGCAAAACCTTGTATTAAAATGTCATTGCTCATATTCATATATGTTTTTAGCAATTAATTATTTCCTTGTTCATTATTTGAAATCATAATCATAATAGTGTATAAATATGAATCGGGATAGATGTCATTCAATTACGATGCATGAATACGCTGCGGTACCTTATATGGATATGGAATACGATAATCTTAAAAATCTAAGTAACAGATACATTAACATTTTTTAAAAATAAAATCAATGAATTTAAGAAATTGTAATTACTTATTACAAAATGTGGCAAAATTATATAAAAGATAGGAAAACAGATAAATTTCAGAGGAGAACATAAATTGTTGTACATTTTGATAAAACATTTAACGTTAAAAAAAGGACGAAATTAAAATGCAGTATCTGTTTTTAGTGTTGTTGTTAATTAAAATTGGAGTATCACCTTCTTAATAAGTTCAAATTTGTGTGTTGAACGCATCAAATTGTGTATTTCCATCATTTGTCCAATTGCTCTTCAAACTCAATATCGTCATCACACATAGTTGAAGACATTCTACTCATAGGTTGGATGAAAGTATACATGTGAACTCTATCTAGCCCAACCCACGTTGGGTAATTGGTTAAGGTTGATTAGGCTAAAAGAAACCAGAATTTTTCAAGCCTTTAGAATGATAACTTAAGCCCAACTTTTAGAGGTAGTGAGCTCGTCTAGTTGGACATATTTTAGCAACTCACTACATTGGCATGTAGCAGTAGCAACATGCATGTGCTTGCATAGTGGTGGAAACAACTTGGTATCTGTGTTAGCAGGAATTACAAAAAGGGCTCGCATTCTCACTTGTCTCGCAAACTCTCAACACAGACATTCTACTTAACAGGTTGGATGAAATTGGAGATGTCAATCAGCCCGTTCTTCAACCTTATGAGGAGCAAAATAAAAAATTAGAACTCCTTTAAAAAATTATAAAATGTAATAAAATAAAATAAAATATATGTTAATAATTCTATTAAAATAATATATTTTTTAAGTGAATATAATTTTTTCTAATAAAATTTCAAAAAGAATGTTCTTTCATTCAAACAACTCCTATAATATAATTAACTATAAAAATATAAAAAATCATAAAAAAATAAGTTTTATGAGTATTCTGAGATACAAAATCAGATAAAAATTGTAAAATCATTCAATCATTCTTGTGATGATCTTAGATAGATTTTGATCAACTTTAACTTTGAAAAACTTCTTTCAACTAATGCTACAATCTCCAAGATCGAAAAAAATAATTTTATAAGCGATTAAAATATCTGAATTAATATGCAAATTTGACAAACTCAAAAATTGTTTAATTTTTTTGAAAAAAATTAAAATTTTTTATGAATTTTAATGCTGAGAAGAGTAGAATTTGAGAATTAAATGAAGTTTTAAATCTAAAGAAGTAAGGAGTCGATTATGATTATGGCAAGTGAGGTGTGAGGAATTGAATGGTCTTTTTTATCTTTCTATTTTTATTCCAACTGTAACCTACAATTGAGAACTAAATTTTTTTTTTTATTCACATGAAAGCATAACATAATATTTACTTTTGGCCCTTTTCAAATTTGAGCCCTGGGTAATCGCACTTCTAAACTACTCTCGCCTGATGTCAATTCACGTTATCAGGTTCGCATTGGATAGCAGGTTAATATTAGTTGAGCTAAAAATGACCAGAATAATTCGAACATTTAAACCAGCCTACATGATAACCAGTTTTCCTAAAGTGACAATTTAAGGAATGTTACATAATACTCATCTCTAATAAATCTCTTCATTCTTAGGTGCTCTTTTTAGTTTTTAATTTTGTATATCTACCAAAAAATTTACAGATACAAGCTTTTCTTTTGTTTGACAGTTTGATGTTGAATTTTATGGCACAAATAAAAAAAAAATAAAGAAACAAAAATATGCAAAATTGTGAGGAGAATGAAGAGAGAAAAATACTCAATTTTTATTGAATAGCAACATTGCATTTATAATAACTCGAAAAAAGAGAAACTAATTATTCTTAAAAATAAAATGTAAAAACTACTTATTGATAAACTGATATAACAAAAAACAATCAAGAGCAATTTCAAAAGCACATTATTATCACTCATCTTTACTTTTTAAACTACAAACTCTATTTTTTTGCAGTTTAAATTTGTTAACAGAATATAAATTTGTTGTCAACAAAAATTTTATATTCTCTTTTTACTTCAAATTAGAATTAAATAAAAAAAAATTTTTGCCATGAAACGTGATTCATAGTAACTCAGTCTTAAGAAAATTTTCACATCATTAACTATGTCATTCTGGTCATTGTTAGAAAAATCAGTCAACTTAAATTTTTCGCTTCTCTTAAAGTTAATGCTTGAGTTGCAAGTGTCTTTGAAATATTTAACCGCTTGAGTTGCAAGTGTCTTTGAAATATTTAACCACTTTCTTTGCAGGCTTGATATGTCTTTTATTTGCACTATTGATGAAACTAGAAAACTTACTTTCAACGCTCAAAATATTAGGGCAAAATGTTGTGATATTTTTTTTACATGAGAAAGTTGTTTGCTCCTCCTCTAATAGATTTAGAGTAAAAAAATTTTCTTTTTATTTTTACTTTGAAAATATCTTGACCAATCTTATCTTTAATCAAACAATATTTGTTTTCAAAAATAACTTTAAATCCTCCTTCAATTAATTGATCAACAGTTAACAAATTTTAGCTAATTTCAAGAACCAAAAGAATATCACAAATTAATTTTGTGCCTGAAAATCTTGCTATTGCAGTTATCCTTTTTCCCTTAACTGAGATAAAATCACTATTACCTATATTGACTTTGGTGATGCTAGTAAACATCAAATCTCTAAAGAGTTTTCTGTTATTGGTCATATGGTTAGTGCAACTACTATCAATTAACCAACATTCATTTGATTTAAAATCTGAGAAACAAATAGCAACAACTAATTGATCTTCTTCTCGATTAACAATTTTAGTCTCTATATCTTGGTGTTGGTTTTATTTTTGCATATAACTTCTTCATATCTCATTTGATTGCATTTACTGTATTGTGTGTCAAGCCTCCTCCAACATTTGAATGGAGGATGACCAATTTGAGCATGTGGTTCATAACAATCCTTTTTGTGAAAGAGAATAACCAAGGAAAACACATTTAATAAATTGAACAAATAATTTATGATGTTCATGGAGGGGAAGATGGACAAAATAAACAAAACCAAAAGTTCAAAGATTACAGTATGAAGAAAAGTGAACAATATCCACGTGGAACCACTCTCTAATATCAATATTTAAGAACAATTATTTAACTATTCTCTTAAATATAACACATTAGATAACACAAAATTTTAGAGCAGTTCTAAACACTTTCTAAGTTAAAATGGTATCGCTTTCACATCTCCTTTCAAGTTTAGTGTAAGTAATTGTAGCAAAATTTAACCACTAGGTATTATTAGGAACTTCAATAAGACATGATTCGTAACTTATTAAAATAATACTAATTAATTTTCTTTTCAAATTAACTCTTTCTTTTTTAACAATCTTCTCGAAGTGTTCAACTTTCATTGAAAAAATATCTCTACTTTTTATAGATTTCACCTTCATGAACTTTTAACGAGACTTTGTCTTTCTTTTTATCTTCTTTATTTGACTTTGTCTCACTGCTACTAGCTGCATTATGAAATGTAAGATAGATAGATAGAAATCAATTGGAGACTCTTGGACTTGGACTAATTCTTTTGTCGATTTCTATTTCAACAAGTTTTCAACCAAATCTATCATAGACTCTCTTGAATGTAGAATAATTCACTTGTCACTTTCTGTTTTGACAAGTTTTAAGAAAATCTCTTGAAGACTTTCATAGACTTAGCATAAGTTTTCTTGTCAACTCTTGTTTTTTACTAGTTTTAACAAAAATCCGTGAGCTCCATCTTGTCTCATGAACTTATAACATTTTTCTTGTCGATTCTTTTTTCAACAAGTTTTAGCTGTTTTTATCTGGGACTTGAAAATCTCCAAAATTCCTTAAGAGACAATCCTCTTTTCAATAAAAATTAAGGCTTTCCTCATGACCCTTCAAACTTTTTGAAATATAGCCTCCTTTCCAACAAAAGATGAGACTCTTATGCTAAACTTCATAGAAACGTGTCAAAAAATAGTTCTTTCGCAAAATTTTAGAACTTTGATATTTTTACGGGTTTGCAGCTCATCAAAATGTAGAAACCTAGGGTTCTTTGTAATTTTAGTCAAAAAAAATAATTTATTTCTTACTACAAAAGTTTGGTAAGTGTCTCTGTAACTTTAAAAAAAAAATTCTTTCCCCAAATAACAAGTATATTTTAACTAAATTTTTAAAATATTTTTTTTAAAATTTGTTTATATAAATTACTTTTCATCAACAATTTTATTTTACATTATATACGCGGTTGTGCCAATCTACAGTCTATTCTTATTCGTGCTGTGAACGAAAATTCACAACTTTTAATGTTTTTTATTTCTGTGGAAACCAAAATTATTATTTTTCCCAAATGGAGTTTTTGGAATTGCAAACGGTAAATAATCAGGATCTTAAACGTGTTGCCTAATTCTGGTAGAAAACCTTAATTGATATGAATCGTAAAACTGAACTTGAAAATTATATTTAAAAAAAAATGAACAATAAGAACTAGTTTTCTAATTAGAAGAACAATTGAAAAGGAAAAGAAAGGGTGAAGAATAGGAAATGTTAACAAATGTGTTTAAGAGACTGATTGATAAATAAATGTAAAATATTTTAATAAAATATATTTATCACATTAGAGCAAAAGAATATTTAGTAATTATTTTTGTAATTAAAATTATTTAATAAAATATTTTAAATACACTGATGTTCTTACAACACTCGGCAGAACATTAATTTATTATATGTAATTTCATTTATATATGTTTCTATTTTCCCACGATCAGTTCTTGGGATCGAGTCCATGTTATTAACTCTTGCTTGCCTTGTCTGACTTGGCCAGGAGTTAAATGTAGAGTTGACTAATCATTTACATAAACAGTTGACTTTAATTTTAAAACATCCACGAATAATACAAAAGCTGCAATATCTATCCCCAGTGATCAATAAAACTATAAAGATTTACAAAGTCTTCAATGATTTCTTAAAGGTAATTAATTTGATTAAGATTTTATTTAGTTTTTTTAGTAGTCGAGGATTCATGGGGGTTCTTTGGAAAAAGCAATGAAGACTTAATCGATGAAGACAAACTGCAAAATATTTTGCGTGAACTCATGAATATAACAAAAGCCTCATATATGCTCACAAATGCCAAGTTGGCGATGTGAACAAGTTGAGAGATGAGCATAATTGGATCCATCGTTTGGAATTATCGAAAAGTTATACTCCCATTGCAGCTTCTTTGTTCAAGCTGTGAGCATCCTTATTTAAGATATTGAAGCATTAAAAAATGATTCAAATGGGTAAATAGTGCTTTGGGGATCACACTTTTTAATTTCGCGCAAGACCTCTCCCTAGTTTTGATGTTATTCAACGTAACACGTAAAGGGAAAGACATATTGTGTTTAATTATACGTGATAAGAAAAAGAAGAGAGCTGAATGATATGATTGATGATATAATATAACAGAAGATCGATTTGAAAATATGAGGTATATATAAAGACATAACTTTGATATTATACAAATATTATTGTTGTTTCACAAAATCATCATCTTTTTAGTTAAATTTCAGATCCACCTATTGAATTATTTCTCCAGCAACATTCTTTTATTCACTCAACATCGCATATCAAGAGCTCATGTGCACTTATTACTGGCAGGAAGCAAAAATGGGACCATACGGAATACGAGTTAGCAAAAGTGGAAAAACCGAAAATAGTAGCAAAGAATCCAAACTAGATCCACACAATTCGATCACATTGTCTTCAAATTTTCTTCCACAACCATGTTAACATTCTTCTGTTGATTCTTTCAAGTTGAAACTAAAAATACGATTCCGAAATAGTAATCTATCATATAATGTAATACGTAACCTACAGGTTCTGAAAACGTCCAATTAAAATTTATTTTAGTTTTGATTTCTTAAATTTTATTTTATTTTACTCTTAAAGTTTTTTAAATTTAATATTTTTTTTTATCTTTGGTGATAACATTATTAACTAAAATATTATTGAGTCAATATTTTATTGTGTCATGTCATTAATAAAAATGACAAAACATACTGAAATTTAAAAATTTACGTAAATCTGATGCTTGTCATGCTTCCGATCTCTCTCTATCCGCGTTCTAGCTGTTTATGAAATTGCAATTGAGCAAATAACAATGACAAATAAATATATAAAAAAGGTATAGATTATGGGGTCTTAGAATTCACTCCACCAATTAATGTGGATCCGCTATCGGTTGCGCCGCACCCGGTTAGTGCAGATATCTAATCCTTCTCTTCCGGCCACCACCGACTGATCGAAGCTTAGTACCAACACCAACTCATCTTGGTTCACATTTTCACAAACAAAACATTTGAATAAGCTAAACCAAAATCGAAAGCAATCTGGGATTAAATGAAGTCCCTAATAATAATAATAATTTTTTTAACGCGGTGGTCTTGCTTATTTCAAGAAATTCTAGTCAACTACGTAACATGGGATTTTCAAAATATTAGACAAGCTGAAATCTTGAGCAGGCGTGAGTTGTGGTTATAGTAATATAGGTAGAACATAGTAGCATTTTGCGTACACATCCACTTATGCTGGCCCCACTCTAGTATCTTCCTTAACATCTTCTATTCTGTTTCTCATAGATACTTATATATACAGGGTGGCGCAAATCACAGGACACTCCCATCTTCATATCGATTCACCTTCTCAATTTCCTCGTGTAAGGGGAACTTAGATTTCTGGTACGCTTCCAACTTTCTCATTAAATCTAAACTCCTAAGGCATTCCTTTCGTAGTTAGTTTCTTGACATGCAAACAATATACTACAAAGTGTATCTCTTCCTTTAACCCGTTATAAAATTATGTTTGGTAGTAGTTCCTTTTATGGTATTGTAACTGAAATTTGAAGACTTTTTGTAGTATCTCAGTTTTCACCATCCATCCAACACATGCATTGTCGAGATATCTTTCTCTTAAGATCATAAATTAACTTGAAATTTGGAATTCATTCAGAATGTAAAAAGGCATTCCAAAATCGACTGTCACGGACGACATGAAGCAGATCATTTTTCCCCAAGTTTTTCTAGGAATTTTGGCATGCTGGAGTGTTCTCTCGGTTATTGCAGAAGACAGGTATTTGTTTTTCACATGGGAAATTACTCGTGGAACAATTAACCCTCTGGGTGAACCTCAACCGGTTGGTCATTTTTCCCTCTGCCTTTAAAATGCCATTCTTTCACACTTGAAAGGGGTCTTATATTTCATTTATATTTTTACTTACCAGGGCATTCTTATAAATGGTCAATTTCCGGGTCCTACGATTGAAGCCATCACTAATGACAACATCGTTGTGAATGTCATTAACAAGATGGACGAAAAATTCCTCATTACATGGTTAGTGGTCTTTTCCACTACACTTTTCTCAGGATAAACTAGGATTGAATTTTTAAAAATGGGAACAGTGAAGTGAATTAACCCTTTTATTTATTCCTTTGGTGTAATTTATATCAGGAATGGTATAAAACAGAGAAGGACATCATGGCAAGATGGAGTTTTAGGAACCAATTGCCCAATCCCTCCTAACACCAACTGGACATACAAATTCCAAGTGAAAGATCAAATTGGAACTTACACATATTTCCCATCAACCAAAATTCACAAAGCTGCTGGTGGTTTTGGGGGATTTAACATTGCTCAAAGAATTGTGATTCCCATCCCATATCCTGCCCCGGATGGAGAATTCACCCTCCTTATTGGTGATTGGTACAAGACCGACCACAAGGTTGGTGAAGAAATCACTCCCTCCAATTCTCTCTTTACATGCTTAATTGCTTATATTACAGTTCAAAATTGCCACAAAAAACTTTGGTTCTCCTGCCAGGGTTGTTATTTGCTACATCCATAACAACTTTTTATATAAGAAATATATATATATATATATATATATAAATTCATTTCAGGCTACATCTTAACAATTAGTAAATTAGGATCTTGTTGTTATTCTATGATCCGTCGGAACGGATTTGTCGAACATTAACCTATGTGCAATCTGTCACAAGTCAACAATCCTGAAAGAATTGAATTTTAGGCCATTTACTGTGTCATGAATTAATTATCCTATAAGTTTAAGGTATTACATTAAGGAGAATGCTAGCCTTTAGATTTTTTCTTTTGTTGAGAATCTAAGTAGAATTTTTTTTATAGAAAGGTATTGCCAACATGTCTTCATGATTGCTAATGTAACTCCAACAAAATTTGTAATACTTTTTATTAATTAAAACCCTTAAAATATTGGCTACCATTAAAACACTTGATATGAAATTAAAATAAAATTATTATTTGTTAATTTTTTAACCGAGTTAACAAGACATTAAAAAAAAACTATTTACAGATATTAAGAAGATTATTGGATGCTGGCAAGAGTCTTCCTAATCCCGATGCTCTTCTCATAAATGGCCAAAACAATGCCGTATTTACTGGTGAAGCAGGTAACTGGATTTAGAATTATTCTATCATGGGTATTCAGCATGTCATTCCATATACTTTTAAAACGAATGAAAATGAGAGTTTTCAATTTTCATTGTAATTAACATCAATGCTTTATGATTATAACTTTGGTTATAAAATAATAATTTATTTTTTCAGGGAAGACATACAAGTTCAGGGTGTCAAATGTTGGGTTAGCAACCTCATTTAATTTCAGGATTCAGGGCCATTCATTGAAGCTCATTGAAGTTGAAGGTGCTCACACAATTCAAGAATCGTACGAATCCCTTGATGTTCACGTGGGGCAATCAGTAACAGTTTTGGTCAAACTTAATGAGTCAATCAGTGACTATTCCATAGTTGCATCTAGCCGTTTTACTGAGCTTGTTCTCACCACCACCGCAACTCTTCGCTATCTGGGCTCCAAAAGTAAGGCCACAATTCCATTACCCGTAGGCCCAGCAACTGACGATGTGGAATGGTCCATGAAGCAAGCCAGAACCATCAGGTAGTGCTTTTTTATAAAACAAAAATTATCATCTCTATTAACATGTTTTTTGGTTTTTATATTTAATTGCAATTTTTTAATCATTTTTTATTTTTATTTTTAAAATTTGCATAAAATAATTCAGAAAAGGGGTAACAATAAAAAATTGTTTTCATTATTTTTTTCAAATACTATCAACATGAAATAAAATAAAAATAATGTAAATTTATTATAATTAAAATAAAATATATTTTAGAACCAAATAAGTCCTAAGAATCCACTCTTTATTCGACTTTTTAATTCAAATTAAAGTTACACACCCAATTTTCTTACTTTTTACAATTTTTCCATTTTAATCTAGTAATTAAGATTATTTATTTCAGTGCTGCATTGTTTTCAACTCGGAAAATCTTCTGGTCATTGCCTCTGACTAATTTGTTTGTTTATAGACTGAATTTGACAGCAAATGCAGCTCGCCCAAATCCTCAGGGGTCATTCCACTATGGAACTATCCCTGTTGTAAGGACAGTAAAGTTGGAAAATTCTGAAGCCACAACAAATGGAAAGCTACGATATGCAGTGAATGGAATTTCCTACTTCAATCCAAACACCCCATTGAAACTTGCTGATTGGTTTAACATTCCCGGTGTCTTTAATCTTGATACAATTAAAGATGTTCCTCCTCCACCAGGCACCCTTGCCAAAATTGGCACATCAGTCATAGGATTCACCCTTCATGATTATGTCGAAATAGTCTTCCATAACAACGAAAAGTACATTCAGTCCTGGCATATGGATGGATCTAGCTTCTATGTTGTCGGGTAGGTGACGAGTAATATTTCACTAAAATCAGTTGTTTCTAAACATGCGCCAAAATTTTTGCTAAATTCGTTTAATTCAATTTATGAAGCACAAAATTGATTAACCGAATCTAAATTATTAGATATGGCGATGGTATGTGGACCCCTGATGAGAGAAAGACTTACAATTTGGATGATGGCATTACAAGACACACTGTTCAGGTGAGTCAATTGTAGCTGTTGTATTGGTATAATGTTGTGCATAGAAAATTTTATGATATTTAACCAATGACTATGGACATGCAGGTGTATCCAAATGGTTGGAGTTCAATTATGGTATCTTTGGACAATAAGGGTATGTGGAACTTGAGGTCTGCAAACTGGCATAGACGGTATTTGGGACAAGAATTGTATATCAGGGTGTGGAACAATGAGCAAAGTCTATACACTGAGACTAATGTACCCCCCAATGCACTCTTTTGTGGAAAGGCTAAACACCTGCACTAGTCATAGACTCCGAAGTGGTTTATAATTTTATTTGGTTATTGGCATAAGTGGTAACTCTGGATTTTCTCTCTTTTTTTTTTTTTTTCATTCATATCATTATTTTGTTTAGAAATTAGAGTCACGAGGGTGTGACTCTCACAGTGTCAAGTAAAGTGAGAAAAAAAAAAAAAAAAAACAGCTTTGTTTGAATATTGAGGCCCGTTGAAGAGAGCTGCTTCACTTAATTTACCGTTGTATTAGACTATTATTTCTTGTAATAATCATAATAAAAAATAGTTTTCCACCTCGTTCCCCTTCTTTGCCGCGTTCTGCATCCCCAAATGTTCAATAATCGTAGATCAACGAGATTGTTAATTATCCAGCAAGTATATTAACAATGGATATTGACTATATAATTTTCAAGTGAAATTATGTGCAACTTCCTTCAAATTTCGAAATATAAGATGTAACTCTTTTAATTAGAATAAACTACAGTGGCCTCCTTTAATTAAATTACATTACAAAATAATTTTTGTGTTGTAAACAAATTTTTAGATGTTATATGGTATAAAAAAAGCAAAAGATATTTTAACAAGTATCACTAACTGTATTGCATTAGTTATAATATTAAATATACAATTAAAGTGAATAATAGTGATGTTTTAATATTCTATAGAGATGACACGCATATGAATAAAATAAAATAATTTCTTTATCCATAAATCATCTAAATCTATTAACAGATCTTGAGCATTTTTGTTAGATAATTAAATATTTATTTAATAGATTTCCTTAATTAGCTATTTGTATCAATTTTTTTTTATTTCTGATCAAATTATTTTCTTGTGTATAAATAGTCCTCTTTAATTATTTAAGATATATGAATACAATTCACAGTTTCTTTTATCTTCTTTTTATTTTCTTTGAACATGTTATGCTTTTTTGTCTTTTCTATTATCTAAATATTTTTATTTATCCTTAACTCATGAAAGATCTTAAAAATTCTTATGCATTACATTCATCTAATCATCTTGGATTAAGTCTTGTCTCTCAACATCTCACCAAAGATAATTACAATTTTTAGAGGAGATCAATGCAAATAATTCTTTGTGGCAAGAAAAAGTTTGGTTTTGTTGATAAATCTTTATCTACACCTAATAAGAATGATCCTTTATAAAATCTTTAGAATCAAAATGACAACATGGTTTGTTCATTGTTCCTATAGTGCTAGTGTTATTTACTCCAACACATTTGCTAAAATTTGAAAGAATCTACATGAAAGATTTTAATAACAAAATGGTCAGAGTCATTCAACTCATGAAAGTGTTAGTTGTAATCTTCTCCTTTAAGTTTTCTTACGCTAAAATTACAACAACCGTTATAATCTTGAATTTTATGGTTCTCGGAAAATCAAGATATAGAAAAAACTTACTCATATCTATAGCCTTGATGTGTTCTCTTAATAGTCTTGATCTCTTAAAGACTTTTTTTTTTCTAACTCTTACTTCTTTCTTTAGTCTCTCTCTCATGATGAAGAGAAATTTATATCTTTTCTTGTTAATCCCAAAAACTTAGATTTGTAACCATCTTTTTTTTTTTTTTGTTATAAAGAGGGGCTAGAAGCCCAAACAAATAAAACTACAAAGAGTTTCTAGGGATCCTTATATTAAGGGAGTCCATACAGAGAAAGGGGAGGATATTAGAAGGGGCAAACTCAAACTGATACAAATTATTTTCTAACCTGGCCTTAGCTAGGCTGATGGCACATAAGTTGGCTTCCCTACAAATATACCTAACCCTACTATATTTGATGGAGCTTAAACTGCTCCTAATGTCCTGAATCAACTTGAACGGTGGGTGGGAAAGGTGTTGAACATGTTGAATAAGGAGAATAGTCTGCTTACAATCGCTCTCAATTCAAATCCAATGGAAACCTTTTTTTACAATCAGCTGGATACCAAAGTAAAGGGCCCAAAGTTCAACTTCCAATGGGGGACAAGGATTAATTTTCTTGCTGAACCCCAGTAGCAAACTCCCTCCACTATCTCGAACAAGCCCACCGTAAGCGGCTTCACCTGTACTTCTAAAAACAACAACATCCACATTGAGTTTCACATGGTTGGGAAGAGAAGGCATCCAATTAACCATCTGATGACAAGAGACCTGTTGCAAGCAAATGTGATTAACCCTATAATGAGAAAACGTATAAGTAAAGTCATATACAATTTTATAAAACAAAATGTTAGGAAGTATGGAATTGCACTGAAATACTAAGGAGTTTTTGTCCTTCTAGAGATTCTAAATAATAATCCCAAAGAGTTTCCTCCAATTAGTAATGAGACTGTAATTTAGACTAGATAAATTAAAAATCAACCAATCTAAAACACCTTTATTAGAAAAAAAAGTCACCCACTATTGAGAAAAGATAAAGTGGTTCCAAACTGATTTGGCATAGAAGCAATCCCTAAGGACAAGTATTAGGGTCTCAAGAGCCTCTCCACATCTTAGACAAGTAGGAGAATCAATCATATTGTGTTTGCATCTCTCCTTATTAGTCAAGAATTTCTCATAGGTCACTTTCCAAAGGAAAAGATTAAGTTTGGGGGGACCAATCCAGTCCCAGATGAGCTTAAAACCCTTTTTGTTATACTTAGGGATTGGGTCAGGATTAAAAAGTAAATTATAGGCAGATTTAATTGTAAATATCCTAGTCAACTTAGCTAACACAGGGAAGTTAAGGGTCTAATTATCCACCTGAAACTTAGTAGAGAGTTCATCCCTCAGCTTCCAACTTAGCCGATTACTGAAATTGGGCCAAATAGATAAAATAGCCTTCCAAAGGTGGGAGACTTGAAGACTGTTACAGAGCCTAAGGTCTATGCCTATCCAAAATTTGTATTTACTGTGCAAGACCTAGCCCCACAACTAGTTAGGAGAGGTAATTAGCCTCCACTATAATTTCATAAGATAAGCATTATTCAAAGTTCTAAGATCCCTGAATCCAAGGCTCCCATCTTTTTTTGCGCCTACAGATTTTTTGCCAGCTAATCAAAGGCCCCTATATAAAATGCTTGCATATAGAGTTTATGTCCTTACAAACAAAGTTGGGGATGCTGGATATTTGCATCACATAGAGGGGAACACTCATGAGACTAGATTAGGCCAGAGTGACCCTTCTAGCAAGGTTGATAGACGATTGCCGAGTCGTTATCAAAACACATTATCAGTTAAATTCAATTTTAGGTTTTGTTTTAAAAAAATGCAAATAAGGTTTTTAGGGTTTTGAAAATTGTAATTAATTAAATTAAATTACGAACATAATTAAAGTGAGTAAAAAATGAATTAAGAAATATCAATCTATAGAATACCAATTGTGTGTAACTCTGACTATCACAGTATCTAAAGATTTAAATTCAGGTTTAAACAATCACCTAATTTAATTATTAATTCAATCGAATAACCTAATTGAATAGAATTACGAATTAAATCAAATAATTATTTAACCTAATTCGCGTTATTTATCAAATTAGAACATCAATTGAGTACTAATTTAAAATCTAACAACAGAAAAGTCAATCACGATCGCGATAAATAATTCTGAGATTAGAGAGAAAAAAGAGAACAAACTCGGAGCAATTAGCGCAAAACTCAAGTCGGAATTATAGCATTTGGATTACGCGGATTGAACGAGAGGTTTTAACTTTCCATCGAAATGCTTAACCCACGCAAGAATGAGAATAGAACGAGAGATTTCGAGAGAAAATAAAAATAAGAATTCTTATTTCGGCAAATGTTAAATATCTAAAAACAATGGTCTAAATGTAATCTCGCAACAATATTCAGCAAATTTGTCTCAATTTTAAAAAATCATAAAAATTCGAAAACAACTTCAAATTCAGCAATCCATATATGCATTTTGAAGCTCTAGATGTGTAGAATCCAATTCAACTAGAATCAATCAAAAATAATATCTGTAGAAAAATTTATGGCCAAAAGAGTAGTCAGAAGTTAGAATAATCGAAAATACGAAATTAAAGTATTTATTTGTAATAGGCCAAATTTATCCAAATAAGTAAAAAATGATAAAAATTATAAAAATAAAGCATATGAAAAGTGTTTATTAATCAAAATAAAACATTAAATATAAACATAAAATATGTTACATCAAAGGGATAGGGATTTCATATTCCAGAAGTTAAGTTTTTTTCTAATCTTATCAGTTAAGAAAAGAGTATTGACCATTGTTGGGACTGCAATAAGTTATAGGAAAATCCAAATACCTAGCAATTCAGTTAGAAGGACTGATTCCTAATGTATCACTGATACCTTGAATGAGATCAGGGGTAGTGTTTTTAGAAAAAATGAGAGATGATTTGTTGGAGTTAACTTTCAATCTTGAGGCTGCACAAAAAGCTTCAAGAGTATTGTTAATATTTAGGGCCTATTGAAGATTAACTTTAACTATAAGATAATATCATCAGCGAAAAAAAGATGGGAGATGGCAGGCCTCTGATTACTAAAGGAATAGGGAGTCCAGGT